AGCAAAGCAGGCTCGGGGGCTCCCCGGGGCCAGGCCGCTGTTCACTCCTCCCAGACCAGGGAATTACCCTGGGGCACAGGTCAGTCCTCGCTCGCCAGGTGTCTCTAAAGTAGGGAGTCATCCCCCACGGCGGGCACCCCACTGCCAGTTCAGAGAAGGGGGTGGGGACGGCAGGGGACCACCAAGGGGGGCTGGCCATTTGCCAGACAAAGGGAGGGAGGCCTCAAACAGCCCCTGTCGCGGGGATGGGGGGGCCAGCAGGGCCACTGCCACCCAGGCGCCTCGCAGGTCCGGCGAGCACCCGGGGCCCAGCAGCCCGGCCAGCGCCAGGCCCTTGCCCCGCGTGCCCCCTGGTGGGGGTGGGGGGGCGGCGCTGGGGACGCGCGCTCGGAGGCCCCTCCCCCTCCCCGGCCCCTTGCGCAGGGGGGAGGGACCCGCGGCTCCGTCGTCGGCGCCCCCCCACCCCGCGCGCGGGCGGCGGTGACATCACGGCCACGGCGGGAGGGGCGGCGCCCCGCGCGCATCACTTCCTCGGCGCCTCCCCCGGGCGGGCGGACTGACCGACGGACGGACTGACGGTGGACGGTGGGCGGCGGACCGCGCGCGGGGGACAGGCGCAGGGCGGCGCGAGCGCGGGGTGTGCGGCCCCGGCCCTCGGCGACCCCGGCCCCATGGCCGGCCCGGCCCCGCCCTCCGCCGACGAGCTGCCCGGCCCGGCCCGGCGCCTCTACTCCAGGTAGGCTGGGCCGGCGGGGTCCTGACGTGCGGGGACCGGCGGGACGGGCGGGGATGGGCGGCCGGAGGCGGGAGGCCCGGAACAAAGGCTGCGGCGGGCGCGCGACGTGGCGGGGACGCGCCCTCCCTGCGGGCTGGCGGTCGTGGAGGTGCGGGGCGGGGGAGAAGGAAGGGGTGCTGGGATGGGGGGCGCCCGGGGTGGGGGGGGCGGGGAAGGGGGGGGGGGGGGGGGGGGGGGGGCCCCCGGGGGGGGGGGGGGGGGGGGGGGGGGGGTAGGGGGGAGCCCAGGCTGTGCCCATCTGAGTCCAGGATTAGCGGGTGGTCAGGGTGTTGGGCTGAGCTGGGCTGCTGCTTGCTGGACCCCCGCCCCCACGGCCCGGCCGGCCGGGAGAGCTCCCTCTTCACCAGCTGTGCTCTCCCGACAGCTGGGCCGCCTGGCACAGCAGGTGTGTGGAGCTTGCCTCGCAAGCCTGGCACCACCTCCCCTCTGCCCGGGGCTGGCTGGGAGGCAGCGTGGCTGGAGGGACCAGGCTTTGTCTTGGGCGGGGCCCTGTTCCCCGAGGACCCGGCGCGAGTCTGCGTTCATGGATGGCAGGCCCGAACCTGGGCTGCGGAGCCAGCCAGCCGGGTGGGCGTGTGCCCGCCTGAAAAGGCACCTTCCTCTGGGCAGATTCGCGGATGATGCCAGCGCCCTGTGATCGGTGCTTCACGCTCTCGTCAGGGATGACAGGGTGGCCCTGCCCACCTGCCTTGCGTGCCTGCTGGGTGACTCCGGGCCTGTCGAGGGTGATCCACACGTGATGCCATGTGCCCGGCCCGGGTGGGCACAGGGTCCTCTGAGGGGAATGGACTCTGCCAGTGAGTGCAGGTGGCCAGGGGAGCAGTCGGCACGGGTGCCGGGCAGGGGCCACTCATTGACCGCGACCCCCAGAGGCAGGCCCGGCTGCCTCCAGGGGCCCCGACAGGTCCCCGACTTGGCCGGACAGCGTCATCCCCGGGACCTGGCGGCGTCCCCAGCTGCTGGGCCTTCAAGGGGCCTAGCCTTGCCCGAGAGGATCGTCCAGCCCCGGCCGGGCAGCGAATCAGCAGCCAGCCTCTGTTGGGTGCCACCCCCCCCACGTGTAGAACGAGGCCCCGGTGGTGGGTAGGGGGACTTGCGGCTCCTCCCACCTCCGTCTCTGTGCCACTGGTCAGAGACACAGCCCCCATTGTGTGGTCCCAGGATTGAGTGCTGGGCCCCCGACCCGGCTCCTGGGCCCCGCGCAGGGGGAGGGGTGCGCGGGTGGGTTTGCTGGCAGCTGCCGCTGGAGGCCTGACCCGGGGGATGCCCCCCGTAGCACCCCTGTGGGGACGGCCGAGTTGGTTCGGCAGCTCCCAGCGTGCGTACGTGTGTGTCTGCCTGTGTGAGTGCACGCGCGTGTGGAGCGGGGAGCTTTAGCCCTGGGGCCCCTGCACCGCCGAGCGTGGGGTCCTCATGGGGCGCGTCCACGTCTGCAGCCTCGTTGGGAGTCTGGGGTGCGGGCTGGTGCTGGGGCCCGGCGGGGACATGCCGGACAGGACCCTGGCCCAGGGGAGTGCGGCAGGGACCGAGCTCAGAGGGGATGTTGGGGGAGGCCCCGAGCCCAGCCTGGCATCCTGGCAGGCCGAGGCCTGCGTTGAGCTCCAGCGGGCAGGCCCAGCACAGATTTGGGGTGCACAGCCACCGGCGCTCCCGCAGCGCCCGCGAGGAGGCCCTTGGGGAGTCTGTGCAGCCGCGGCCAGGTGTGGGCAGGGCTGTTCGTGCTCGGAGCGGGCTCTCAGAGGCTGGCAGGAAGGGTGGGAGCTGGGGAGCCGTGTGCGGGGGCCTCTGACAGGTGGGGGCTGCTAGCTGGGGGGGGACAGACTGACGGCGGCACCTTGGGGCAGGCAGAAGGTTGTCTACCTCCTTGATTCGGGCCGGGGAAGCCCCCCTGTGGCACCCAGCGCGTGGGTGCCCCGTGACAGCTCTGGGCTCTCGGCAGACGGTGTTTGGGGGGGGGCCTCCAGGCCAGGCCCGGCCCACCCCCAGTGGCTTCCCTTCCCATGCCAGTTTCCTCCCGGTGACAAGAGTTCAGTGTTTTTCATTTCTTTACATGTTCGTTCGTTCTTGAGAGAGGGAGACAGAGAGACAGACAGACAGAGCATGAGCAGGGGAGGGGCAGAGAGAGGGAGACACAGAATCCGAAGCAGCTCCAGGCTCCGTGCTGTCAACACAGAGCCTGACGGGCTCGAACCCACGGACCACGAGATCATGACCTGAGCCGAAGTCGGACGCTCAACCGACTGAGCCACCCGGGCCCCACCAGAGTTCAGTTCGTATAAAGTGGGGGTCTGGGGGAACGTGGGCTTGGGACGCACGCTGAGAGGGCCTGAGCGTGAGTGTGCCTGCGGGCCCAGCACGTCCCCACACGGGGCTCCGGGAGGGGAGCCGGTCAGGGAGGCAGAGGAGATTGGGGCAGATCACGCTCAACCCTGGTCTACCGCACCTGGGCCCTCGTGCCTGGAGAGGGGTTTGGAGGGAAGGGGCCTCGGGGAGGGATGGGGGGAGGGCTGGTGGCTGAGAGGCCCCTGAAAATGGGGAAGCTATGGGTGGCCCTCTCCCTGTCCCTTTCAGGCCAGCAGCTGAGGGTCCCAGGAACTGGGAGGTGGAGAGCAGGCGGTGAGCACCCCCACTGTGGGGTGACCCGCTAGAGGTGTGCCCCAGGCATGAGGCACCCGGACGGGGGCATCCTCAGGAGTGGGTCGGGCACCCAGGCTGCTCCGCCCCGCTGCCCACCCGTCCCCATGGGCTCCTTCCACGGGTGCCCCCGGGCACTGGCCCTGGCAGGGCCTCTGGGGAATAATGGCCTGGCCCCATGGTTTCCTCGGAGCACAACCTCAGGTGCTTTCCCGAGCTCGGTGCCCCTCCACCCGCAATTCCTGTTCCCGCCGCGCTGCCTGCCCCGCGCTGTCCCAAAATCCCCACGTGAAAGGGAGTCAGTGTGGCTTTGCTTTGGGGGCAACGAGAGGGGGTGGGCAGGGGCCCTGGGGCATCTGCCCAGTGGCCCAGCCTGTGGGTGACATCTCTAGGGAAGAAGGACGGTGACTATGTTTAGCAGCGAGTGGAGCTAAGGGGACACAGCCCCCAGTTAGTCATGTGTAGCGGGAGCTGGGGGCCTGGCTTGCAGACCGGCCGTGGTGGTCAGCACCGGAGGACCCCACAGAGTCTGTGGGACACATAGGCGGGGACGGGAGCCCTGATGGAGAGCAGGGCAGTTTGGTCCGGGTGTGGCTGGGCTGATGGCTTCTCCTGGGATGCTGTCTCGGATGCCCAGGCGAGGCTGAGGGGTGTGGTCATGATGCGGTGGCTGGAACAGTAAGACTGGCCCCTGGGGAGTCGATACCATTTTATTAACCGGTAAGCCTGTGGGCAGGCGGCGGGAGCTTGGCAGACAGTATCCCGCCTCCCGGCCACTGTGGTCTGGCCACTGGGAGAGCTGGCCTGGTCGGCCCTGCAAGGAAGGGCAGCCACCGCATCCGAGTGGGTCTGTGCAGGGGGCTGTGGCCCCGTCTGGGTGGGCAGGACCCCCACAGCCTGGTCCCAGAGGTGTGGGTCTGACCTCCTTGGGGGCTGGAAGATTACAGGTTGACCATGAGGCATCTATTCCCAGGTGGGAGCGCTGCCCTTCCCAGGGTCGGGGCGATGAGGCTGGTGGGGAGCTGAGACCAAGGCCCCGGGGCCCTGAGGACTCCAGCCGGCCCCGCCCAGAGCCCCTGAGAGTGGGGCTCTCGGTGGCCCTTGGCTTGGCGGGTGGTGTTGGGGGACGAAGTCTTCTTCGATGAGCAGGGAGGTGCACCTGGCCGGGCTGGGCAGGCCTCAGGGGAGACAAGACAGGGTGGCCTGCATTCAGGTGGAATAGGGCCCTGGGGTGGTTCTGAGGGTTTGGGGTTTGGGGGTCCGGTTTGTTAATAGGAGCTGGGTAAGGAGGAGGTGATCTGGGCCCTGCCCTGTGCCCCTTGGCTGAGCTGTCCTGAGGTGTAGACGGGTGGCATTGGCAGAAGCCTCAGGGCAGGGAGGAGGGTGCCCGGTCTGGACGCTCATGTGTGCGGGCAGGTAGCTGGGATACCCCACCTCCGTATTCACCTGCCCAGCCCCTTCCGAGACCCCACTTGCCAGAGTGGGCAGGGCCTCGAGACCCTACACCGGGCTGGCCCCCCCACCCTCCTCTGGTTCTCAGGTTCCTCCGTCTCCTCGACTTCGGGTGGCTTTGGAGAGCAGGGCCCATCCTGGCTCTCCAGTTCCCTCTGACCCTGGAGCTGTGCCCCGTCCTCTTCCCAGGGGCTACAGCTGCACAGCCTTGGAGCCCTCTGCCACCCCAAAGCCCGTTGCTGAGCTGGGCGAGTGGTCAGGCGGCGAGAGTCTCGTCCCCGCCCACCTGCCCACCCCAGGCCCCGCCCTCCTTGCTGACGATGCTGATCCCGGGCTCTGAGCCGTCCTGATCCCTTGATCCGTCTCAGCCCCCGGGAGGCCCCGGACGACCTGCCCAAGGACCTGGGGTCTCCTGGAGCCTGGGACGCCAGAGCCTTTAGCCCACCACTCTGGGGTGGGGGGAGGCAGGGAACCCACGAGGCCGGCGCGTCCCCAGGACCAACGGCCAAGGCGGGGGGGGGAGTTGGCCGGCCAGGCGGGAGGCCTGGCGCCCCGCGATGCCGGCCGCCCCCGCGGAGGGCCAGCCCGTGGCCCTGAGCTTGGCAGAGAAGGCCGTGTGCAAAGTGGTATACGGTGCCCCCCGCCCCCGCCCCCTGCTGCTGCCCGTGGGCCTGGAGCTATGGCTGTATGTGGAGAAGAAGCGTCGTCACCTGCAGAGGAAGAGGTGCGGGGGGCCGGGGGGGCGGCCCGGGGGGTCAAGGTGCGGTGGGAGGTTCTTGGGGTCAGTGGAGGGGGCGGGGGCTTCCAGCCCTGGACGCCGGCCGGTGTCTCTCCAGGGGGCCTCCTCACGTCACCGGGGCCCGGGTCAGACCCCCCCCTCAATCTGTGATTCGGGTTGGCCACGCTGGACACCTCATCAGTGTACCCCCATCTCCAGGCCCTTCGCGCACCAGAAACCTCCTTCGCGGCGGTGGCAATGCCTGTCTCTAGCTAGGCAGGGACAGCAGGGTGGGGAGACCACTCCCCGTGTCCTATCTGTCAGAGCCAGCAGGGCGTGTTCGGCTCTGAGACCAACGTCTCACACCCAAGCCCCGGGTCCTCCCAAGTCACCCAGGCGGAGAGGTCCATTCCCGGCATCAGACAGCGCGGTGCGCGGCCCTGGCTGTGGGAGGGGGCGGCTGGTAGGCTCCAGACAGCCCTTCCCGGGGCGTCGTGGGTAGGAGGCCCGAGCTTCCGGCACCCTGCTCTCTGACAGGCCACACAGGCTCTGCCTGAATCTGGGGGCGGCAGGGCGCTGCTGGGGTCCCGGAGCCCACTCTCCCCAGGAGGCGTGGCCCCAACGTGGGGGGGGGGGGGCCGCGCCCGGCCCCGGGGGGCGCTTTGCATCAAAGGCGTGTTTGGTTAGAGCGGCTGAGAAGCAGTGCCGTAGACAAAGCTCGTGGATTTGTCGAGGGGCCCTGCGTGTTGTCCCCCAGGAACGGCTGATCACCACGGACTCTAACAACGCAGAGAGGGGGCGAGTGCCCGGGGTGTGTGTGCTATTTTGCCGTGGGCGCTTTCCCTTACCCGTGGGCTTTCCACGGACTCCGGTGATCTGGGTTGGCCCTCGGCCACGCAGAACACGTCTCCCACTTTTCCAGGGCTGCGTGTATGTGCGTGTATGGTCACTGGGCTCCTCCCACCACCTGCCGGGGACCCCCTGCAGCTTGGGGCCCCGCTCCCCGCCCCCATGGTATCTGTGTGCTGTGTCCTCCGCTGACCGCTCTCCTGCCCTAGAAGGCAGCGGGTCAGGCCTTGAGCGTGGAACTCACAGGACCAGCCACGACAGGCCAGAGGAGGAGGCCGAGGTTCTGAGTGATGAAGTGTCCTACCCCGGGCCCCCTCGCAGGGAGGGCCGGAACCAGGGCCAGCCTGATCGAGTGACCCCCAGACACGAGGCTCCCCTGACAGCCATGTCCTGAGGGCAGCTCGCCCAAGGCCCAAGGGCCACGGGGCCCCAGTGAACAGAGCCCGGGGTAGCAGCTGGGGGGCCCCGGCCCCACCCCACGGGCTGGCAGAGCCCAAGGGTAAGGGACAGCTTCTCTGCAGCCCCTGCCGGAAGGTGGAGGCATGAAGGGCTGGCCCGGCCTCTGGTCAAGGTGTTGGCGGTGGTGTGGGGCCCTGGGCCCGTGGACTTGGGCTGGGTTCATGGGCAGGAGTCTGGAGCAGTGTCCCAGGGGTTGGGTCTACCCTGGCACACGGTCCTGTCATGCCCTCCCACAGTAGCACCCTGGGCGCGGGGGAGCGGCTGTCTCGTCGGGCAGCTGTGGCCAGCAGCTGAACGCTTCTCGGCTCTGGGGGCGGGCTGACCCACAGCTCAGACGGAGCCGTGACCCCGGAGAGGTGACGGCAGAGGATGTGGGACGGGGGAGGGGCTAGGGTCAGGTCCTGCCCATGTGGCCTTGACTGGTGTCCTGAACCTCTCTGAGCCTTGGTTGTCCTTGGTGAGGATCGAGGGCTGTCGCGGGCCACTGTAGCTACTCTGGAGGACTGACGCGGCACCAGGTCCCGGAGCGGGGGCGGAGGGAGGCCCCTCGCCCCGGGCGGCTGAGCCTTGAGGGGAGGCTGTGTTTGGAGCTTGGCCGTCGTGGGCTGAGGGTCTGGCCGTAGTCACGGACTCATACGTTTGCCCGGGGGCCCCTGAGCCCTGGTCGTGAGGGGCGTGCAGTGAGGTTCGGGCACGGGTGAGCCGCACAGGTGCCAGCCTGGCGATGGGCACGCTGTTGGACCCTGCACGTGCTTCTGGGCATTTCTCCAGAGACGTCGACGTCTGTGCGCACAGGCGTGGCCTCACCCGAGGGCCCCGTGGTCCCAGCGATGACGGGGGAGCACGGGGCCCCTGCGTGACTGCGTGAGGGGCAGGCTGTGACTCCTTCTCTCTGCCCAGGATGGAGACCTCGTGCCTGGAGCTGGCCCTGGAGGGCGAGCGTCTCTGCAAGGCCGGGGACTTCAAGGCGGGCGCGGCCTTCTTCGAGGCAGCGGTGCAGGTGGGCACCGAGGACCTGAAGACTCTCAGCGCCATCTACAGCCAGCTGGGCAATGCCTACTTCTACCTGAAGGAGTACTCCCGGGCGCTGGAGTACCACAGGCACGACCTGCTGCTGGCCCGGTGAGCAGGCGGCCCGCCTCGGGGAGGGGCCGTCACGGCACAGGCAGTGCCGGGAGCTCGGGCGCCCGCGACCTGGGAGAGGGGGAGGGGGCGGGGCGGCGCCTGGCAAGTGCCCCCAGGGGCTGTGTTTCAGGGGAGGCGTGTGCGTGTGTGCATGTGTGTGCACATGGGTGTCCCTTGGTGTCCTGAGTGTGTCCTCACGTGGGTGCCTGTCCCTGGGACTGGGGGGGGGGGGGTGCGCGACCACTTGTGTTTCTGAGCGTCTCCACTCCCCTCTGGCCTCCAGACCTTCCCCGAGCTTCTCTCGTCCCTGAACACCCTTCCTTGCTTGTTCCCCACCCGTCGGCAGCCAGACCCCCCCAAACCCGGGTGGGAGCGGAGCTTCTCAGGGCTCCCACCAGCCCTGCCCACGGGCCCCTCCCTGGCCAGTGAGCCGCACGCGGCGTCCTCAGCACCTGGCGGGTGTGTCAAAAGTTACTCCCACTGTCAGGCCCCCCCGACTCTGCTGGTCTCCATCGGGGCACCTCTCTAAGCCCCGACGGCCACAGGCTGGGCCCAGCCGAGAAGCGATCCCCAGCTGGGCTCCCTGCCCGGGGCTGCCCGAGGGGACCTCGCCTGCCGTCGGCGAGACCCCTGCCCGGCATCGCCCCCAGTCGCCCCCGGGTTGGTCCTGCCAGGCCTCGCCCGCCCCTGCCCGGGCTCCTTGCTGGGCTCGGGGTCCCGGCCGGCCCTCAGTCTGGCTCCTCACTGCCTCCTGCCCTACAGGACCATCGGCGACCGCATGGGGGAAGCCAAGGCCAGCGGGAACCTGGGCAACACACTCAAGGTGCTCGGCCGCTTTGACGAGGCCATTGTGTGCTGCCAGCGGCACCTGGACGTCGCTCGGGAGCAGGGGGACAAGGTAGGTCGGCAGCTCCCAGGCTGCCTGCCGAGCCCCCACCTGCAGGGCTGAGGCCCGGCCCCCCGCCTTCCATGTGAGCTCCCCCAGACCTGCCAGCACCCCTCGTCCCTCCTTCCGGTTCCAGAGGAACACAAGGTGGTGCGGCAGCCAGGGTAGAACAGCCGTGGGCCCCGCCCGGTGCCGGACCCTTGACCTACTCTGTGACCCCCCCCCCCCCCCGCCGTGACCCCGGGCAGGGGAACAAGACGGCCGGCCCCAGGTCATAGCTCAAGGCGTGTGGGCCAAGCGCGCCTTCCTTCCCCCGGGCTTCCGAGAGGGACCTGGTCGCCCTGATGGTGTAGATGACAAGGGGGCAGGTGCCAGGCCCATCCACCAGGAGGCAGTGTTCGCTTGCCCCGTGCCCAGAGGGTGGCGACCACGTGCAAAGACACCTCACCCCTTCTTGGGGTCCCGGCCCTACTCCCACATCTGCACCTGATGACGGCCCCCCTCCAAGTCCTTGCTTTTGGGGGACTGCAGGCACAGTGGTCTGGGGCCAGGGGGTTCCTTGGGGGCCATGTCTGCGGAGGGCCAACCTCGGTGCCACCTTCAGGTCGGGGAGGCCAGGGCATTGTACAACATCGGCAACGTGTACCACGCCAAGGGCAAGCAGCTCTCCTGGAACGCCGCACAGGACCCCGGGCACCTGCCGCCCCATGTCCGGGAGCCACTGCGCAGAGCCTCCGAGTTCTATGAGTGAGTGGGGCAGGCGGGGGCACCACGGGCCGGGGTCTGGCCGTAGCGCTTCCCGAGCCGCTGCGGTGGGCGCGGGATCCCAGGCACGGAGCACCTACATCTGGCCCCATCACCTCTCTGCGGACCCCCGCATGGTGACAGCCAGGCCGGCTCTCCTTCCCCAGCCCCACCCACCCTCAGGCCTCCTAGGCTTCCCGCACATAACTCACGCACAGCAGCGCGGAGAGGCAGGGAAACGGCCGAGCAAAAGCCGCACGTGGCATTTAGAAAACGTTTGGCTGGAAATAGGGCGGGGATGTTGGGCTGAGCCTCTGTGCTGGGGAGGACGCTGGTGCAAGAGGACAGAGGCTGCACCCGAAAACCAAAGTCTGGGGCCGGGGAGCCCCTGACCTGAGCCTCGGAGCTCAGACAGCACCCTCTTCTAGTGGCTCCCTAGAGCCACTCTTCTAGAGCCCCAAGCTGCCCTCTTTCTGGGGCACGCTCCCAGCAGGAGCTGAGCGGAGGCTGCCTGCTCATCCCCTCTGGCCGGGCGGGTGGGTCACGAACCCCTGCTTCCCTCGCACCAAGAGGGCCACGGCTCAGACAGATGCAACCCCCAGGAGGAACCTGTCCCTCGTGAAGGAGCTGGGCGACCGGGCGGCCCAGGGCAGGGCGTATGGCAACCTGGGCAACACACACTACCTGCTGGGGAGCTTCGTGGAGGCCACGACCTTCCACAAGGAGGTGAGTCCCCTGCGGGGCGGGGGTGGGGGGCCAGCTGCCTCGCTTCGTCTGGGCTTGGCTCAGGGTCCCAGGCTGCTCTCGCCAGACGTGCAGACTTCGGGCTGGCCACGCTGGGCGGGGAGGCCACCCCCGCCATCCACATCGGGTCCCGGGGCTGCTCCGTGACCACCCGGGCCTCGGGTCTGTGTCCCCAGCGCCTGGCCATTGCTAAGGAATTTGGAGACAAGGCGGCCGAGAGGAGGGCGTACAGCAACCTGGGGAACGCCCACATCTTCCTGGGGCGCTTTGACGTGGCCGCCGAGTACTACAAGTAGGCAGGCCTGCCCGCCCGCCCCCACCCCTGCCCAACCCCACCCGCCCGGCTCGGGGGAGGGGGCCCCTGGACACCAGCCCAAGGTCGGGAGGTGGGTCTGACCTCCCAGCCTCTCCAGGGGCCAGGCGGGGGGGGGGGGGGGGGTTCTGGGCCACAGCCTGGAAGGGCAGACTGACAAAGCCGGGGTCCTGGGGCTGCCGGGGACAGGAAGGACTATGGTGCCCTTCACTCGGTAAGTGCGGGCAGAAGCCGCTCTGTGCCAGGGACACAGCTAACCGCGGCTGAGGGCCTCCCAGTGCCAGTCACTGGGGGAACCCCAGAGCTGTGTTTGCGCCCCACGATACCTCTGGAGTGCGGGTATAATCCTCCGTGTGTGGACCCAGAGGGTGGAGATCACACGGGCTCCTGGGAGGATGCTCTGCCAGCCGCCTCGTGGCTTGAGGAGCAGAGTGGTGACCACCGGGCACAGGTCCCGGGCGTCCGGAGCCCGGGCTGGGGTGTGCTGTCCCCCGTCCCCCATGCAGGGCGGAGGCTCGGGGTGGGGAGGTGACTGGCCAGTGCGGGTCCCGCAGTGACGGGGCTCCAGAGACGCCCCGGTGGGATCCCGGGGCTGGCGGACCGCTGCCCCCCCCCCCGCCCTCCGTCCACCCCTCGGCTGGGGGCTGTGAGCGGCGCCGCGTCCCCAGAGAGGGCTCCTGGAGCCCTCCTTGCTGGGGCTGAGCCTCCCCCTCTCGCAGGAAGACGCTGCAGCTGTCCCGGCAGCTCAAGGACCAGGCGGTGGAGGCACAGGCCTGCTACAGCCTGGGCAACACCTACACTCTGCTGCAGGACTACGAGCGCTCGGCCGAGTACCACCTTCGGCACCTGCTCATCGCCCAGGAGCTGGCCGACAGGTGCGCGCGCGGTGGGGGCGGGCGGTGTTTCGGAAGCGGATCGCGGGCGATGGCCGTGGGTTGTAAGCACGCCCAGTGCCACGCGCCGAGGCGCGCTTAATCCGTTAGATTTACGCTTTGTGATTTCCACCCGAATTGAAAGATTAATGACCCGAGGGACTGCCCCGCACCCAAGGGTGGAGGGAGCCGCAGGGGTGAGAGCCTCGCCGGCCACTAGGGCGCGAGGGAGGCCGAGGCGGGCACTTCAGGCCGGGCCTGCTGCGCTCCCGCTCCCGTCAGGACCGGCCTGACGGCCTGGGGGCTGCAGAAGTGGACTCGGTTTCCCTCCCTGGCAGAGTGGGAGAGGGCCGGGCGTGCTGGAGCTTGGGGAATGCCTACGTGTCCATGGGGAGCCCGGCACAGGCCCTGACCTTCGCCAAGAAGCACCTGGAGATCTCCCAGGAGGTAAGGCAGGCCTGCCCCCCTGATGGAGACTCCCCTGGTGCTGCTCAGCTCCCTTTGGACCAGGCAGGGCGCCTCTCGCCCAGGCTGCTCCTCCGTCCTTTCCAGGCTGCCGTTGTGCACTGGAGGTGGGGGGGGGGGGG